CATCAGCGTTATTACAAAACATGAGATTGTCTTGGCAATTACAGGGGGACTTTTTGTTCTTGAGGCTCTTTCTGTGATTATTCAGGTATTGAGTTTTAAAATAACAGGGCGGCGAGTTTTTTTGATGGCCCCTATTCATCATCATTTTGAACAAAAGGGATGGGCAGAACCAACTATTGTCATTCGTTTTTGGATCTTAGCAGCAATTTTGGCGATGATTGGCCTTTCCACATTAAAACTGCGTTAAAAAAAACAGTTACTGAAGGAAGAGTCTTCTTTCTTTTAACGAGGTTACTTTTATGAGTTCACATTCTACCCTTTATGGAGTTTTGGGGCTTGGTCGTTCTGGGATGGGGGCTGTGAAATTCTTAGTGCGCCATGGTCACACAGTTGTTGTATGGGATGACCGAGGAATTATTCGTGATCAAGCGAAGAAGCGATTTGGGGAATGTATTCAAATCAAGCCTGTAGAAGAGTGGAAAGGTATCCACAAAATTGTTTTAAGTCCTGAAATTCCCCCTCATCATGTTGAGGTTCAGAGGTTGCAAGCTGAAGGGGCGTTTTGTCTGACAGAAGTGGATCTTTTTTTGGATTCTCACCCGGAAGCAAAAGTTATTGCTGTAACAGGAACCAATGGGAAATCAACTCTTGTAGAACTTATAGAGCATATTTTGGGCACAGCGGGAATATCGGCTGCCAGTGGGGGAAATTTGGGAACGCCGTGTGTGGAATTGCCAACGCTTTCTAAAGAAGGGGTTTATATTTTAGAGCTTTCTTCTTACCAACTTCATTGGTTAAAACCATATCCATTTTTGGTGTCATGTATTACGAATATAACGCCAGATCACTTAGAATGGCACGGTGATTGGAATTCTTATGTGCACGCAAAATTGAAGATTGCTGAAAAGGCAAAACACGTGGTCTTGGGGAATGAAAACTTAGAGCGTTCTTGGCATAACTTGATTTTAGACTGCCGAAAAGAGCTTGTAGAGATTGTTCAGTCGTTAAAAGCAGAGAATTTAGCACGTGCTTGCTTGAATACTTTCAGATTAAGCGAAAGTGTTTGGGAAGAAGCTTTGGCAACGTTTAAGGGACTTCCGCACCGCCAAGAGGTAATGACAGGTCCAGGGAGATCAGTTCTTTGGGTCAATGATAGTAAAGCCACTAATGTTGCAGCAACCCATGCGGCTTTAAATGCTTATAAAGAGTATTCGATTTTCTGGATCGCAGGGGGGCAGATCAAAAAAGGAGACTGCTGGGAACAAGTTCTCCCTGGAGGATCAGATCTACAAGGGGTTTTTCTTTATGGGGAAAGTGGTGATGTTTTGAAGGAGGTCTTTTTGGGGAAAGGCCTTTCTTTTGTTCAATCTTACTCAACATTAGAAGAGGCAACGCTTGCCGCGTGGCAGAAGGTTCAGGACAAACAAAAGGAAAGTTCCAACTCCAAAAAAACTGTGGTTTTGCTGTCTCCAGGAGGGGCAAGTTTTGACCAGTTTAAAAATTTTGAAGAACGAGGAGAGATGTTCCGAAAAATTGTTCAAGCGTTACCGCAGTGTAGGAGGATTCGAGAACAAAGGGCCTAGATAGGTAAAACGATTCTTTTTTCCCCCATCAACCATTAGGGTTTCAAAGAACATATCTTTTGGCCGAACCCATAGGCCATAGTCCCCATAGAGCGCTTGGTACACAACAAGTTCTTCCAAAGTTTCACTATGGCGGCACAAAGCGATGACACGGTATTTGTTGCCCCGATAATGTTGATAAAGGCCCAGTTCGATTTCTGTGGATCTTATCATTTTCTTTTTTCATTTCAAAGTGTTGGTTTGTGCGAGACACTATAAAGGTAACCTTGTCTGAAATGCAATATTGATGAACCCGAGAAAGGAGAGGGGATCTTAACCTTAGTCAAAAAAATCTAAGGCTAAGGGACTATACTGTATCCTATTTTCGCTTAGCAACAATGGAAACCATGTGGTCAGTCCCATGATTTTCTTCAGGCGTTGTAACGAATGCTTCCTGAATATCAAAGGTATCTTTTAGTAAGTTCGTGAGCGTTGTGATCGTGTGGTAATGGAGGACGCGATCTGTCGATACATAGGGTTCATTCGTATCCAACCCTTTGTATTCTTGATAGAAGTGGGCGCTTTCTTCGGACTCTTTAGATTTTCTCACGTTGATCAGGGTGCTTTTTCCAAATGTATTATTCCCTAGAATCTCTATTTTTTAAAGAACAACGTTTTTTACATATTGAGGATCTGGGTCTGGTGGAGGTAAGGCTTTGACAAATTTTTCAACGTTAAAGGATTTCGGTGGTTTAGAGGCCGTGCACTGTCTTTCCTCTTCTTTCTCTACCTCAGCAGCGAAAGAAGTTGGAACAAGGAAAAGAGTCAAATAAAAAATAAGCATTAATTATTTTAAAAACATGATAATTTTTTCCATTTTAAGAGATTTAAATAGAAAATAAATAAAAAATGGATTTTTTATCATTTTTACTTATATTATTATTTTGTTATTTGTCAAGGAAACACTCTCTTGCTTGACGATAGAGATGAATTTACTAGAATGCTGCTTTAGCGATGTTTTAGGAGAAGTACCGTGGCGCAAAGCTTTTTAGCGCGAACAGATGAAAGTCTTTTAGGGCGTTGGTGGTGGACCATTGACCGTTTGTTTTTTGGCGCAATTTCCTTGCTTGCTATTATTGGTCTTTTACTCGTTGTTGCTGCAAGTCCTTATGTTGCAAGCCATTTAGGACTCGATCATTATTATTTTGTGAAACGTCATATGGCGATGTTGGTCGGGGCTTTTACCTTAATATTAGGGGTTTCAATTTTACCCGTTCCTTGGATTCGGCGTTTAGGTCTTTTTCTATTTCCAATTGCATTAACTTTTTTGATCATGACCTTTTTCATGGGAACACAAATTAAGGGTGCGCGCCGTTGGTTGTTGATAGCGGGTTTTTCGTTGCAGCCTTCTGAACTTTTAAAGCCTGCTTTTGTGATTGTAGCGGCTTGGTTGTTTTCAAGGGCGGCTGATTCAAATATGAATGGAATTATACGGCACAAAGCGTCTTTGCTCTGTATGGGGCTTTTTGCATTTTGTGTGGCATGTTTGCTGTTACAGCCTGATTTGGGTCAAACAATCCTATTAACCGTTGTTTGGATTGGGCAGTTCTTTTTGGCGGGTCTGCCTTGGATTTGGATTGTTGCAGCTGCTGGAGTTGGGATTCTTGGTTTAGGTGGAGCCTATTTATTTTTGCCGCACGTGACGAAACGTATTGATGGTTTCTTAGGCGCAAGCACAAAAGATCCATTTGGAGATGGATACCAGGTGACACAATCTTTAGAAGCTTTTATGCGGGGAGGTTTTTTTGGGCAGGGGCCTGGAGAAGGAATGATTAAACGTCACCTTCCTGACGCGCATGCTGATTTTATTTTTGCTGTAGCAGGGGAAGAGTTTGGGCTGATCTTCTGTTTGGTTTTGGTTGCATTAATAAGCTTTATTGTTTTCCGAAGTTTGCAACATGCTTTAAAATCCCAAGATCTCTTTATTGCTTTGGCTGCCTTTGGATTGTCTATACAGTTTGGTTTGCAGGCACTCATTAACATCGCTTCAACCATAAACTTAATACCAACGAAGGGAATGACGCTCCCTTTTGTGAGCTATGGGGGATCTTCAACATTGGCTGTTGGGTTGGCGCTGGGTGCACTTTTAGGGCTTTTGCGCCGTAAATAGAGGAGAGGCTTCTCCCAGATCTATATTGAACTATCGTTGGGTCAAGTAAAAGGCTCAACTTATTTTTCAAATTTATAGTTGGGCTTTTTAAATACGATAAAAGGGAACCTAAAAAAAGAGCTATTGAAAATGTTCTAGGATTCTTTGTAGTTTTCTTTTGTTTCATCAGAAATCATAGCGTGACAAATTCTATCGACCATTCTGCAAGCATTGGCGGCACGGATTTTGTCCGGGTGATACATGATGGAAAAGTTTATCTTATCTTTAATCGTTTCTTCCATTCTCTCTAGAATATTGATTTCTTCTAAGATGTATTTTCCGATTAATTTTGTCCAGAAAAATAGCTTAAGAACAGGGGACTCTAATTTAAAAAACCTTATGTTTGTGCGTTCTTTATATCAGGAAATTTATTTTAAAACCTCTTTAAAAGCTTCATTATGGCGAGATGGTGTGAACTCAAAAATTTGATATTCTGCAATCTGGTGAATAGAAAAAGGATCTTCTTGCAAAAGCGTTTCTAGTTCTTTCCTGTCTTTGCTTTTTGTTAGAATAATTCCTCCATAACCAGGGACCTGTTTTCCAGAGGTGATAAAGTGCCCGGAATTATAATATTTTTGGAGAAATGTAATGTGTCCTTCACGATGAGGCTCAACCTCTTCAGGGGTGACAATATACCGTAAAACGACGACAAAGAGGCTTTCCATAAATGGCTCCTAATATTAGTAAACTTCCATCTTGCATAGAGGGGCATTCTTTTTAATTTTAAAAAAGTAGAGACGTTTGAGTTTGAAGTCTAGAAGCTCTCTTAAAAAGGGTTTTCAGAACTCCCTTTTACGAGAATTTCTTCTTTAATAACTCATTGACAACTTGCGGGTTGCTTTTTCCTTGCATGGCTTTCATGACTTGCCCAACAAAGAAACCAAAGAGCCTTTCTTTTCCAGACTTATATTCTTCTACTTTGTCACTATTTTCAGCAAGAATTTTATCAATTACGGCTTCAATGGCCCCTGTATCTGAAACTTGTTTTAAGCCTTTTTCTTCAATAATGGTTCCAGGTGCTTGGCCTGTTTCCCACATATGCGTGAATACTTCTTTAGCAATACGCCCCGAAATAGTGCCTTTTTGAATGAAGTCGACAAGATGCGATAAGTTTTCTGCTGAGACCTTTGATTGGGAAATTTCTAACCCTTCTTTGTTCAGCAAGGCAAACAGCTCACTAGTACACCAGTTTGCAATCATTTTTGCGGCTTTTGTAGATCCTTCTTGTACACACGCACTTTTTGAAAGCGCTTCTTCAAAAAAAGCGGCTGTATAAACACCTGCTGTTAAAATAGAAGCATCATAAGCACTGAGCCCATAGGCCTCCATTAAACGCTTTTTCCTTGCGTCAGGAAGTTCTGGAAGGGTGTTCCGAATTTCTTCCACCCATTCAAGGTCCAAAATGAGAGGAGGTAGGTCAGGATCTGGGAAGTAACGATAGTCATGGGCGTCTTCTTTTGACCTCATAGACCGTGTGATGCCTTTATTCGTATCCAATAGGCGTGTTTCTTGGTCGATTGTTCCTCCATTTTCTAAGATCTCTATTTGCCTTTGAATTTCATATTCGATAGCAGAAACCATAAAGCGCACAGAGTTCAAATTCTTGATTTCTGCCCGTGTCCCAAGGGGGTCTCCAGGACGATTCAGGGAAATATTAACGTCGGCTCGCATACTGCCTTCTTCCATATTTCCATCACATGTCCCAAGACATCGAAGAAGAGAACGCATCTTGCGCATAAAAGCAGCGGCCTCTTCAGAAGATCGAATTTCAGGGCGTGTGACAATTTCCATCAAGGCAATCCCTGCACGATTCAAGTCAATATAGGTTTTTGTTGGATGGAGGTCGTGAACGCTTTTTCCTGCGTCTTGTTCCATATGAATGCGCTCCAGATGGATATCCTTTTCCGTACCATCCTCTAATTCAATGCTTAAATGTCCGCCACTGATGATGGGGTGGGCAAATTGGGAAATTTGGTATCCTGACGGAAGGTCTGGGTAAAAGTAGTTTTTACGGTCAAACTGTGAGGTGAGGTTAATGGTCGCATCAAGCCCAAGTCCAGTTTTGACTGCTTGCTCTACACAGAACTGATTAATAACCGGAAGCATGCCGGGAAAGCCCGCATCCACAAAATAGACTTGGGCGTTGGGGGCCGCTCCAAACTGTGTTGACGCTCCTGAAAACAGCTTTGCT